AAGCTAAGGTTCTGAAGGGTAGGTAGTAACACTTTTTTTTTTGCTTTTATTTCGAGGCGAGGGGAATTCAGTCCTACAGAAATGTTGTGAGAAGAGTATAACAAATTCCTTAACGTTTTGCCACATTTACTTTTTCTTCTCTCTACTTACAATAATTTCTTTATTATAGATACAGGCATAGAAAGGGTAAACATCAATTTCAGGAAATTGTCACTTTCAGATTCATCCAAAGCTATTATGCAGTGTAGAGTGCATTATTAAATTGTGCCGCTTGTTTCCATGCCATCTTTAAGGCAGGACTCCCCTCTCCCACCTGGGATCTGATCTAATCCCTTTAGTCATGCCTGCTTAGTCTCTTAATCTGGAGGAGTTCTTCAGCCTTTCTTTGTCTTTCCTAACTTCCATATTTTTGTTTCCTTGGTGCCTGAGCCTCCCTGTGTTGGTCAGGCTGTCCTTAAACTCCTATGCTCATGTGAGTCTCCCACCTCGGCCTCCCAAGTGCCTGGACTGTAGATGCAAACTTTGACATTCCTGAAGAGTTACAAGCCATTGTTTTGTAGAATGCCCCAGGATTGGGGTTTGTTGATATTTCCTTATGATTCGATTCAGACTGAGCATTAGGAGTGATGTTGATTCCCTTCACTCAGGGGAGGTGGTATTGTTTTCCCCTTGTAATTAATAAGTGATCTGTGGGAGGTGTTTTTGAGAATATGTATGTGTATATCGTTCCCCAACACATTTTTTTTTTTTTTAGAGAGAATTTTAATATTTATTTTTTAGTTTTTGGCAGACACAACATCTTTGTTTGCATGTGGTGCTGAGGATCGAACCCTGGCCGCACGCATGCCAGTCCAGCGCGCTACCGCTTGAGCCACATCCCCAGGCCCCCCCAACACATTTTTAATCAATGGTTTGTTGGTTTATCATGTGTTGACTTTTGACCAAACTCCTCCTGAAATTCAGCTGCAGGTCCAAATCCTGATTGACTTTTAGGTCAGTAAACCAGAGTTCCTTTGGGGGCTGCAAGTGTGAAACTTAGCGTGGGGAAATATATTGATTTTTGTTAAAGAACTTTTATTCCATTTAGGACACAGATGCTTTTCTTGAGTTTAAAATCTGAAAAGATCAGAGTCATTTATTCATTTTTCCAGTAGGTATTTGTTTAGTGCTTATTCCATGCCAGCTGCTATTCCAGGTGCTGGGGATAAATGTAAAAAGAAAAAAAACCAAGTCCTTTCTTCCTGCAAGTGACATTCTCCATGGTGGAGTCAGACAGTACAACTTTATGGTACTGTCAGGCAGTGATAAGGGAAGAAAAAGCAGGGCAGTGATGGAGATGGAGGGCTGTGGGGCTAGAGGGTGGCATCAGCCAGGGCTGCCTGCAGGGTGAGGCCAGGGAGCCTGAGGGAGGGTTTGTCTGGAAGTGGAGTGACTGCACAAGGCACAGAGAGGGCTCGTGCCCACTGCTAGGTGGTAGGACAGCACAGAGTCAGTGTGGCTACAACAGAGGCAGCAAGGAGGAGAGTGGATAAATGAAAGGACGGGAGCCTTGAAGACCAAGATGGAGCTAGTGGAGGATGTTGGCAGGGAGCTGCCCCAGCACTGATGCCAGCAAGCAGGGGTGTCCCTGTGGTGGTCTGAGGGCAGCTGGGCGCTGAAAAGTGAGGGTCTAGCAGGGCTCTGAGAATGCTGCCCGTGGGATCACTATGGGGGTTCACCTGCCACCCAGGAGCTCCTCAGGGAAGGAAGATGGGCAGGGACTGAGCATTTGAGTCACTGAGGCTCTGGATTTTCTTCCTGCTCCCTCAGATCTGGGCAGGAGGGGGCTGGCACCATGAGATTTCTGTTTTCCCTGCGCCCTGGGTGGCTGGGGCAGATCCTTGACAAGCCTGGGCAGACCTCGGCTTGTTCCCAGGCCCCTGGAACAGCCAGAGAGCCCCAGGCTATGAGCCCAGGGCCCTGTGTCCCTTGCCAGCAGAGTTAGGCTGTTCTCCAGTTGCAGCCCTGCCTTTGTTCCCAGACGCCTCTTCCCCCACTCCGAGGGAGTTCTGTTCTGTTACCCCTTGTTTCTTCACCACCCAACCTAGGCGACTGAAGGCACAACAAAAACGAGAATAAAGGTAGTGTTTGTAGAGTGCTTTACAGTGTTGGAAGGCACTTACAAAATGTTTTCCACCTACTAATTTATTTAATTCTCACATAAACCTTGTAAGGAGGAACTGTTTTTTGTTGGTGATGGTGTTTTTAATTTTTTAATATGTATTTTTAGTTGTTGGGGGGCTTTATTTTAGTCATTTATTTATATGCTGTGCTGAGAATCCATCCCAGTGCCTCACACATGCTGGGCAATCGCTTTTAACACTGAACCACAACCCCAGCCCCAGAAGGTACTGTTTTTACCCTTAGGTAGGAGGTGAGGAGAGTAAAGCAACAGAGAGGGTGGGCCACTTATCCATGGTAACACAGTAAGTGCAGAGCCTCTTGGGATCTTGAGTGCTTGACCTCTGACCATGAGCCTGTAATGTTGGGTTGTTAGAGAGCAATGAAGAGTGAAAAGTGAGAAAGTGTTTTGCTGCTGTCAGAGGGTTGAGGAAGCTATTGTGCCTCCATCTTAGGGTCAGATCCATGATTCCCAGGAGTCTGGGTGATGTTTACTTAGTGTCTCCTCCCATGATCCAGATGACATATTTTGTTTAATGCTAACAACGTCTCTGAGACAGCTTTTGCTGCCACCCTTTAACAGGTGAGGAAACAGACTATTTAAGAGGCCATGTGTCACTCAGTAAGGGAGAGTCATATGGCCACTCTGGTTCAGACCCCCAGTCTTCCTGATACCACTGGTTACTGGTGATGAGTTCTGCTCCCTCAAATGTTGACATATGAACATTAGAGAAGCACGCCGAGGCAAGAACATAAAGCAGGGTTTACTTAAGAAGGGGTAACATAGACTTCTCCTGGGAGGGAGAATGGGGCCATAGCTGGTGTCCCGGTATCCCCAAGGTGTTCTGTTCCTTTGTTCTGCTCTCTTCCCCTTATCTCTCTCCTTCCTGCCTATGGGGTGTGCATCAGGTTCTTGATAAGGGTGGAGGAAGGGCTCTGAAGGAATTAACATTTCAGTTCTTCAAGGGGTAGTCTCCAACTCAAAACTGGTCTCCTTGATCCAATCTGACTTGATTTACCCATCTCTGCTGACTGCTTGTCTAATTCTGGCTTCATTCCCACATGCTGCCTTGCTTGCCCCCAGAGCTAATGGTGAGGACATTTAGTACTTGCCAGAAGTCATGTGCTGGGTGTGTCACACTTGTACATCCCTGCTGACTTTGAAAACATACTGAGCTGTTAGTCAGGCCTCTGTATCAAGAAAGCACTGAGTTAGCTGGGCACGGTGGCATATGCCTGTAATCCCAGTGATTTGGGAAACTGAGTAGGAAGATCACAAGTTTGAGGCCAGCCTCAATAATTTAGCAAGTCTGTTTCAAAATAAAAGTTCTGGGGATACATCTCAATGGTAGAACATCTTAGGTTCAATCCCCAGAAATACACACACACCCCCCAAAAGCACTGACTTTAGGATAAGATGACCTTGGTTTTAGTCCTGCCTCTGCCACATCTCCAGCGTGATACAAGATGAGTCTTGGAATCCCTGCCACCTTTTCTTTCTCACCAGCAGAAGCAGGATTAAAACCAACCATATCCTCAGACCAAATACAAAAAGTATAGGCTCATGGTCCTTAGCTGGGTCTTGTGCTATGGAGGTGAATAGAATTCCCTGGAGTGACTTCTTTGAGAGAACATATCTGGATCCCAGGGAGGGGAGTCAGGGGTACATGGGTCTTTTGAGAAACGTCCCAGCCTATTTTGAAACACATTTTACCCCCCACCCCAGATCTGTGCTGAAGCACTATATATAAAAGTTAGAGTAATGACAGTGGTCATGCCAAATGTTTTTCAAAATAAGGGAAAGGACTTAATCACAACCAGGTGGTGTTGGGCCAGAACACTAGTCTAGGGTACTTGCAGGAGAGCTATAGGGTTTCCTCATTAAAACTGCTCCTCGGGCTGGGGATGTGGCTCAAGCGGTAGCGCGCTCGCCTGGCATGCGTGCGACCCGGGTTCAATCCTCAGCACCACATACAAACAAAGATGTTGTGTCCGCCGAGAACTAAAAAATAAATATTAAAAAATCTCTCTCTCTCACTCTCTCTCCTCTCTCACTCTCTCTTTAAAAAAAAAAAAACAAAAAAAAAACAAAAAAAAACTGCTCCCCTCCGATAGGGACAGTTTTGCCCACCATTTGACACTATCTGGGGACTTTGGTTGTCACAGTTGGGAAAGGTGCTGCTAGCATCCAGGGAGAGGCCAGGGTTGCTGCTAATAAACATGCTGCAATGCACGGGACAGCCCCCACCGAAAAACTCCTCAAGGCCAAGCCGTTGGTGGTGCCAAGTCGATAAACCCTGGGTTAGATGTAGACAGGACTTGTGTAGTATTTGCTTCGTGCCAGACATTGTTCTAAGGGCTTTATAGGTTATTAACTCACTTGATCTTTCCAGTGTTATGACATAGGAACTGTTACTATCCTCATTTGGCAGATAGAAAATTAGCTGCACACACAGGTTAAGTAACTGGACCCAGTTCCCACCTGGGGCCGAGGTCCCACTTAGTGTGGATGAGGAGCTTAGACAGTCTGATTCCAGAGTCCACACTATGAACCACTGTGCTGTGCTGTGCCTCCTTAAGGGGGCTACTGAGCTTTAAATCACATTTTCAGCTTTGAGTCCAGAAAGCCATATACCTAGAAATTTGCACATGAAAAGAGTTAAGATACCATTAGTTCCTGTACCTGGAAGATGGAGACGGGATGGCCAGGGATAGTTTAATGGTAAGGACTCAAGAATCCATCAGTGAAAGCTTTGTGTTTTCCAGGTTCAGAGTGTGGCTCAGTCCATGAATTGAATGGGCTTTGCTCTCTAGTCACAGACTGTGCTGTGTCATTGCAGACGTGAAGACCACAGTGGTATACCCTGCCACAGAGAAACACCTACAGAAGTACCTGCGCCAGGACCTCCACCTGATCCAAGAGACAGGAGATGACTACAAGAACATTACCTTACCTCACCTGGAGTCCCAGAGCCTTGGCATTCAGGTGACTGGCTGCCAAGTCTGAGATACTGATTGCTGTTCCTGTGCCAATTTCTTTTCCTTATGAGCATCTATTGGGATCTTCCCAGGGACTAAGCATTGTACTAAGTTCAGTGGATATAGCAGAGAGCAGAGCAGACTAAGTCCCTGCCCCATAGAGCTTACCTAATTTGGGAAGTCAGACAGAACATAAATGCATGAGGACATATATGATACATGAGGTTATGAATGCAGTGGAGAAAACTGGAGAGGATCAGTGAGATAGAGAGTCCCAGGGTGGCTGGTTGCTATTTTATACAGGATGGTCAGAGTAGGCTTCATAGAGAAAGGAATTGGCCCTGATCTTGGACCCCTCATGAGATGCTTGGGCATGTCACTGAGGCTCTCTGGGAGTTACTGAGCAGTTCAGTCTGCTAGAAGAATTTGTATCTGCTTCACATTATCCTACGACAGTCTCAAAATGACTGTGTCCTCCTTGTGTTGGATTGGGCCCACCCTGGTCCAGCTTCTTATTCCTGATTGCTCCTGTAGCAAACCAGCTGTGTCTCAGAGTAAACTCCCTATCACTCATTCTGCTTTACATTTATTCCACAGAAATCAGTGCCCTGTCATCCCTGACATTTGTTTGGGCCTCTGAGCACAGGTTGGTAGAGTGTTCTGGCTGGGCCAAATATAAGTCTGTCTAGCTTAGAGATCCTGATGGCTTCTTGGGCGTAGGCCAGGGCCAGCCAGAGACTGCCTGGAATTGGCCCCATGTGGATACTCACAGTTAAATATGATTGATCATGATTGATGAGTCATTTCCTTGCCCACTCACTGGCTCTCACTGGCTCTTTCCCATTGTTTACTCTTGTTCTCTTTGAGCATTTCTCATAATCTTCCCAAGATTCAGGTTACTGTAGTGGGAAGTATTCTAATATGGGGTGCTCAAAGACATTCTGGGCTCAGAAGGCAGGAGGGAGAGAGGGAGCTGCAGGGTCAGTTGTACTGGGAGGAGATAAGGAGAGGGAGATTGCTAGAACCTGTGGAAAGGCTATTCCCTGGAGAGGCCTGTGTGCTGATAGCCCTCTTCCCTATATCTAAGAGGACCCAGCCCTGTTATTAGCCATGCCTCCCATGCAGATTTGCACATGGTTCCTCTAACTGAAGCTGTCCTGATTTTTTTTTTTCTTTCTTTTTTTCTTTTTTTAAAAAATTCCCAGCACTTGTCCTGTCTTCTGAGTGGAAAGAAAGTATGTCTCTACATTCTCGAACAGCTTCTATTCAGGGTCCTAGAGGAATCTGCTGGAATATGTGTTCTGTGGTGCTGGTTGTACTTATCTGGGATTCAAGAGAGGAAGCCCAAATGTAGTTGTCGTGAGTCATATATCTACTTTATTACACATCCGAACATATGTCCACTTGGAAAATAATACAACAAAAACTCCACTACTTTTCCATTGACATGAGCATTCATGTATTTCTTCTTGGCTATTTCTAGCAAGTGTATAAGCAGTCACTGCATTTATTGAGCATCTGTAGTATACCAGCTAGGCTCTGGAGGAACACCCAGGTAATGAAACCTTGCTGATGCAGTCTAGCAGGGAAGATAGATTAGGAGGACTAAAACCCACCATGGATCTGAACCAGGGTAGAGATAGCAGGGAAGGATTTGGGAGTGATTTAAGAGGTAAACCTTAATGAGGTTGATTGGACTTAGACTGGTTGACATGGAAAAGGAGGTATGAGTGTGGTATGACCCTGGGTCTTGCTTGCCTGACGAGCAGACAGTAAGATCATTTATTTATCAGGATGGAAACATGGACAGTGGAATGGGTTTTTGTGAAAGACAATGAGTTCTGTTTGGGGTTTGTTGAGCATTTATTAATTGTCAAGAACTATTCTAGGCATTTTACATGGATTACCTCATTTTATGTTCACAACAGCCCATTTGGAGATGGGACTCCAAATCCAGGCTTTCTGGCCCCAGCATCTGTATTCTTAGCTGGTGACATTATTTGACTCTTCAAATTTGAAGTACTTGTAACTTTCCAGTAAAAATGCCCAATAAAAAAAAGATAGTGAGATATCTGAATCTGAAGCCTTGAGGCATTCAGCTGAAAAATCTTCATTTGTGAGCTGTCACATCAGGCTTCAGCATTGGCCTGGTGTTACGATTCTTATTCTGCTGTCTAAGAGCAGCATGGCATTGTCCTTGACTTCTGGGCCTGTTTCCTTTTCTAAAAAATGTGATTAACAGATCCTTCCTCCTAAGGTTGTTGTAGAAATTAAGAGAGGTACCATTTATCATGTGCTGCTATTTCCTGAAAAGGACCCAGGATGGAGCTGCCATTATCCACACCCAGGAAGAACAGGGGAACAGGCAGGCATGAGAGGGATGGACAGGTGGGGGACAAACCAGGTGAGCAGAATGAAGAGTGAGAGGAGAATGAAGAAGGATCAAGATGTCCCATAAGAAGTTCAAGGAGGAAGGAGGTTCTAGAGGGATTTGTCAGTGTCAACTAGTGCATAGTCCAGCCAAATATATATTAGAAAGTGTCACCCACAATCCCATCATTGGCAGAGCTAGCCAAGTCTCTAGGGCTTACATTTAGACGGTAGCCTTTCCGTCATCTACCTTAGGAAATTTGTGTGGATTTTGTTCTCTCTATCCCCTCCCTTTCTTCTCTGGGCTTCTGGCCGTGAGACTTCCTGAGGATGCAGGTTCCTGCCACTTGCCCAGGGAACTCTCCCAGGAGGCAGGATATGCTGTGGGCTACAGTGCAGGCTCAGGAGCCAGACTCTCAGGGTTAGAATTGTGGGAGCTTATGCGAACTTCCTTGCACCTGTATTTTTCTTACCTGCAAAATGGGGACAACAATAGAAGGGTTATGGCCCTTAGAGTAGGGCTGCCCTTGCTGTCGCCACTCCCAGTCGCTGGCAGTCACTTAGCTTCCAGCCTTGTGCTTCTCCAGCCACTTCCTTTGCTTTCACCCTCTTCTTTCTTTCTGCTTCACTAAATCACCCCTTTGTCATCGCCTGTCTTAGAGTGCCACTGCTACTCTTAGGTTGCCTCCTCTGTGCTGGGCTCTGGGCTAGGTGCTCACACATGCATGTCTGAATTAAACTCTTCACATGTGTAGATCCTGTTAGTCCCATTTAATGAAAGAGGATTCAGTTGCTTGCCTAAGGTGGCAGCAAAACAGTGATGAAGCTGAAAGATAAAACCAAATGTCAAACCCCAGAATCCATGCATGCTCTCTGACACCCCCCGCTGCTCTCCAGTGGACGTGGTGCTTCTCTGGATGAGCAAAGGACAGCCCAGGAGGTCAGCTTATGGAGCATACCAGACTCTCCACAGTAGAATGTCGCCATCTCCCTCATTTCCTGAGTTTCCCAGAGGCTTAAGGTCAGCCTCCAGCTGACTTTTTTTTTCTCCTTCCTTTCTTTTTTCCCCTTTAGCAGCACATTTCCAGAGAGGTCTCTGGTGGGAGAGGAAATGCCTCTGGAGGAATCTTGGCCCTCCAGAGGGCATCGCTTTGGCCATGGGCACTGCATGAGGAAACAGCCACTGGGTGTCCTCCAGACTTCTCCCAGGAAGTGGATCCCCCAGGCTTTTCCTGGGAAGCCCCCATCCTACTTTTGTGTGTGTGTGTGTGTGTGTGTGTGTGTGTGTGTGTGTGTGTGTGGTGCTGGGGATCGAACCCAAGGCCTTGTGCATGCAAAGCAAGTACTCTACCAGCTGAGCTATATCCCCAGCCTGGGAGCCCCTCTTTGATGGTGGAGGAACCACACTATGATTGGCCTTTGGGTTTTGCTAGGGTCTAGAGGTCATCTGGGTTGAAGTGCTTCCTGTAGGTAATTGTAGGAGACTGGAGGCCCAGTTATCTGCAGGCAGAGGCCCTCTTCTCCCTTCCCACTGTCCCAGCTGAGAGCAAGGATGCAGTGTGGTGTGCTCAGCCATATAGGCCCAGGATATGAGGTTTGCAGAACTGGGACCAGCAAGCCCACCCCTGGCCTTCAGTGATGCTGCCTATGCCAGCACTTCTGGGAATGGGAAGAGGACCAAGAGGACAGTGGCAGCCTGGTTGTGTCAGTACCCTGTCCTCCCTGTGAGTACATCCTCTCCCTCCTCGGTGTTTTGGAGGTCCTTTTGAGTTTGAGGAGGAAAGGGCAGCAGTGTAGGTTTCCATCAGGTTTCCCTTTTGACTGTAGAGCAGTCACCTGTATAAGGGCCCTGAAGGTAGGAGAAGTAGAGAGGAATCCAGGGTACCTGGGTTTGACCTTTGCCAGCCCAGGCCTCTTCTCAGCCTAATTTTCCTCAGAAAGCCTCTACAGACCTCTGATCAGAAGGAAACCTCTGTGCCCTCAGCCTCCTAATAGTCTTTGCCCCATGGTCCTGAATAAGTGGAACCAGGGTCCATAAAGACAGCTCTTCCCCTTCATCCTGTGGATGGTGGAAGGGGTCACCACTACAGGGGCTCCATGTGGACCAGGCCTATGAGCATGTGGCAGAATGGGAGGCACTATGCTGACCAGAAAGAGCCTAAAGGGCAGCCTGTCTAAGCAGCAGAGGTCTAGGATGGCCAAGAGTCAGCTGTGGTGGGAGAGAGGAAATCTCTCTGGATCTCCAAACAGCCTGTTTGTTAATTCCTGAATTTAGCAGCCATTTATAGTTTTGTTATCCTTTCCAGAGGGGCCAGAGAACTTGTCTGGCCTAGCTGAAGGCGGGTGGATTTGTGAACCATCTTTTTCCCTCTCCTTCCAGTGGGTGTATAACATCCTTGACAAGAAGGCTGAAGCTGACCGGATTATTTATGAGAATCCAGATCCCTCTGATGGCTTTGTCCTCATCCCTGACCTCAAGTGGAACCAACAGCAGGTAAAGATCACATGCTGGAGTGCTCTGGGCTCTGACAACCCCACTCCCAAGTTGCTGGCCTCCTTTGACTGCCCTTCTTCCTCAACATCCTCATCTCTCTCAGCAGATTATAATTACCCATCAAGGGATGGCCAGATCTGTCCACGGCAACAGAGTATATTCTTGTCATACACAAATACTTTTGCTTTCATGGTCACCTTAAAGACTTTTCTGGCTGAGTTCTTACCCAAGAGGTGAGCTGAACAGGGATGTTCGTCTTCATGACTGAGAGGCCGTTCCTTCACTACTTAACCAACCAAGTGACTCAGACGCCATCTTCTAGCATCATCTGGAGCCTCAGGTGGAACATTCTCTCTATCCCCCTGAACACCACCAGATCCAGGCAGGCCCATGTTCAAAGCACAGAGAGGAACCATGAAGATCAATCCAAAGAGTCCCCTACCCCCACTGAGCTGCAGAATTGTTTTCCAGTAGCCCAGACTTCCACTTCAGTTGTTAGCTCCCCATTTCCTGGCCTCCAAATGACTCTGCTTCTCCAAACCTTTGAAGGAACAGGTTTAGAGGTGCCATCTACACTCTCTAGGTCTCTTCCCTCTCTCCACTGTCCTCTTTCCCATTCTAGCCCACTGCTGAGTTAAAATTTGCTTTTGCCTCTTTATACCCTGAGTGTATTAGAAACATTTGTACCCTGATGGATTCAGGAACAGGCAGGTCCATCATGTTGTAAAGATTGCTATTTACAGGCTGGAATTAGAAGGGGCCAGGTAGGTAGACACAGGAGATTTGGCCATAGATAGCGTCCTCTCTCGTCCAGTTACACTATTGGAGTAACCTGGGCTTGGGTTTGACATCTGCCCTAGGTGGGCCCATCTAGTTTCTGTGCCTTCATCTGGTCATGAGACCCATGCAGAAATGTTGTGGAGCCTGGGCCCCGGCTGATTCTTTGTGGAAACCCTTCTTGTTTTCTCAATTGTGACCTGTTCTTCAGGATGTTAGGACATATATTGAGCTCACCTGCAATTTGCTTAGTTTTTGATTCATTGAACTTTAAAGCTACTGTCCCCAGAAGGGGTTTAAAGGCCTGTGGTTGAAGTATAGGGACTGGATTTTAGCTCAAAGCATCTTTTGTCTCTTGATAAGAGGCTCATGGTTATTCTCAAACATGGCTCAAGGGGTGGTAGGGAATGCAGAGAGAGTTTCCAGAAGTTGCAGCATGGAATGATGATTTCTTAGAGCCAAGCAGGATCAAAAAAGATAGCTTGTGTGTGAGGTGTTGTAGTGAAAGGGGCCAAGAGCACACCAGACTCCAGTCTCCTCTTCCCTTGTCCCTGCCTGGGCCACCTTCAGGCCTTAAGGAAGGGAACGTGGACTTGCTCTGGAGGTGGTTGAAGAGCTAAGACAAGGCTCCAGAATCATGACCACAAGGTAGCTCTGCAAACCCCCATCTTTCTTTAGATAGACTAAAGATCCTGAATTAAAGTCTGGTCATGGGAGACAGGGGTGGGAGAGGAGGAACTTTGGCCTCATAAAACTCTTGAAGACTAAAAGAGCTTGTGACTGATTGCAGGGGCATTGCAGCCACAGAAAGACAGTAAGGATGAACTTGTACATCTCCGTTTCAGAAGCCCTGAATGCATCTGAGTCCAAAATGGGAAAACGATCAGTCATCTGATCCAAGGATGGCAGGAAAGCTTTGGGAATTATACTGGGTTCTCAGTCACATAGCTGGAGCTGCCTGCCCTTGAGGGGAGTGAAGGGGCCAGTTTAAATGTCAGACCTTCCATGATATTAATGCTAATATGGTCCTTCTTAACCTTTGCCTAATTTATTTTTTAAAAAATATTTTTAGTTGTTGATATACCTTTATTATTTATTTATATGTGGTGCTGAGGATCGAACCCAGTGCCTCACACATGCTAGGCAAGTGCTCTGCCACTGAGCCACAACCCCAGCCCCACCTTTGCCTAATTCTTGCTTAGTTTTTAAAGGTGCCATATTTCAGTGCCTCAGATCTATGGCTTGTGACATCACTGAACTGTTTTTTTTTTTTTTACTTTTGGTACCAAGGATTGAACTGAGGGGCACTTAACCACTGAGCCACATCCCCCAGTCCTTTTTGGTTTTAATTTTTAATTTGAGACAGGGTCTCACTGAGTTGCATAGGGCCTCACTAAGTTGCTCAGGCTGGCTTTGAACTTACAGTCTTCCTGTTTCAGCCTCTGGAATTGCTGGGATTACAGGCTTGTACTACTGCACACAGCTTTGAATCTCTGAACTTGATTGCTCCCTTAGAAGTTGGCAACATTCCCAGAAGTCAAACAGGCCACATCTAGGCTTCTGTTCCTCATCCTGGGGCCATGGACTGATTGAGGGGGAAGTGCTTCAGCATTTGTTTCCGGGACGCCTTCCTGGCTCCCTTGAGTCTCTCACAGCTTCTCCTGGAAGTATATTTCCCTTTCTTCTTTTTGTCCTTTCATTCTCTTCCCTTTCTCTTTCTATTCCTTTCCTACCGAATCCCTTCATATTCCCTAAGCATGTGCTCCACTCCTAGCCCCTGGAATTGTTATCTTTATTGTCCCCACACCGAAACCTCTATATTTACCCATTTGTTCTTTCTTCCATCCACTCAATAAATGTGTATCAGATGCCTAATGTTGCTAGAGGTTATGCCACCTAGAGCTTATAACATTCCTTCCCTGGTTCTCTTAAGAGATCACTGTTTTTTGTTTTTTCATTTTGTTAGTTACTTTGTGCCCATGGTAAAATTGCACATAATATAGGGAATGTTCAGTGGGATTAAGTTCCCCCACCCTGCTTTTTTCCCTTCCTCAGAAACAATCATTGTTTCTATTTCTTTGTATCTCCTTTCAGGGATAATTTTTGTATATTGTGTGTATAAATACACGCACATACACACACACACATACATACACATACATACATACACAAACACACATGCATTTTAGGTTCACATAGTTTGTTCTTTAGTCTAAAGTTCCCAGACCAGGGAGTCTTTCCTCTAAGTCACTCTGGATGTCAAGAAATTGCTCTCCAATGCTCCAGTCATCCTCTGTCTTGCCCCTTGTCAGGAAATCATTAACTTTGAAATCATTAACTGTCCTGCCTTACAAAGAGACTGACTGTGTCTGTCTCCCCAGAGTGGTCAGTGGGCCACCTTTTAGGGTGCTAGTCTCAGGCCCTAACCCACCTTTTTGCCAGGCTTTTTTCAGATCATTTCTATGGGCCAGGAAGCACTTTGGCTGCCTGCAGAAATTTTGGGATTATGTCTGCTATCAAAGAATGGTTTCTTTTTGTTCCCTCACACAGCCTGTGAGCTGACACCCAACACCAGTTTCCATGCCTCATTTCATTCCAATGGAGCAGAGAGATGTGATTTAATATCAGGTTTGGGTTTGTCAACAGACATCATCTAAAACAAACGCCACTATTATCTGGGTGTCCTGTGACGACAGTGAGACGTGGTATAGCTGAAAATGTGCGCACATTTGCAGATGTGCGTCCACACACACATGTACACACACACGCCCAAATCAAGCAATTTTGTTTCCTGGTTTCTCTTTGGACTCTTCCCTAGTATGAGAGTAAATTTCCTGGATACAGGCCATAGGAAGAAACTAAGCCTTCGTGGACTTATTATCTCTAGCAGGGTCTGTCCGGGAGAACCCAGACTCTTAGAACTCTGGATGAAAAGAATGACAAGAAGATACTATTTCATGGTTGGACATGAGGCAGTTGGGTCCCTGGGGATTTGACTATGTGACTCATGGTCCCCATATTATCTCCATGAAGAATCTAGCAGGTCAGACTACAGCACTGGGCACTGCTGAATTCTCCCTGAGCCTCGGCCCTGGGAATGTTGGCCTGCCTGGCACTTAAGAGTGATAATCAGGCAAGGCCAAGGTTTGGGGTATCGGGGAGGATGTGAGAGGGATTTCTGGCCAAGAGGAAGAGTTCATTTGCTCTCTGGCACAAGATATTGTTGACTCTGATTCTTTGCTCTGTTGTGACCTCCAGGTTTTCAGACAGGCGCCGTTTTCAGGAAGGACAGCAGGAACGGCCACCCCTGAAATGTTGATGGGGGAGGAGAGAAATGGGCTAACTGCTGTGGTGGTGTTTGTTGCTAAGCTGGCCCCAGGCTCCCATTCCGTCCTTCACACCTCACTATATCCCACACACCCCTTCATGTGCCTTCATTCCAGATAAGTTGGGCTGCTTGCCCCCCGACTTCTGTGCCCTATACAGTCTTGACTCTGAGCCTCCTCTCTCATTGTTCCCTCTCCCAGAATGTCCTTTCTATCTTCTTCTTCTTTTTTTTTTTTTTTTTTTTTGGTGGTAGTTTTGGGATTGAACCCAGGGCTTTGTTCATGCAAGGCACGACACACTCTACCAACTAAGCTATATCCCCAGCCCTACCTCTGTCTTTCTTTCATCAAACCCAAGGCCCAGAGCTTCATACTTATGAGGCAAGCACCCTAGTACTAAGCTACATCCCAGACCTATTTTTATTTTGAAACAAAATCTCACTAAGCTACTCAGGCTGGCCTCGAACTTGTGTTCTTCCTGCCTCAGCCTGTGGGTTGCTGGGATTACAGAATGTGCCACTGTGTTCACCTCCTACCACTTTTCAAGACCTAGATCCCCTACCTTCTCTTCCAGGAGGTCTTCCTGGATCATCCCAGCGAGCAGGAACCTTTCATTCTTCCTCCTGTGTTTTGATCACTTTATTTTGAGGGTATAGCTCAGTGGTAGAGTGTGTGCTTAGCACGTATAAGGACTTGGGTTCAACCCCCAATCTTCTCAAAAAATCAGTTGTACTTTATGTCTTACAGTAGAGTGACCTATGTACATGGATTAGATTGTAAACTCCTAGAGGAAAAGAATTCTTCTTGGCTCTTCTTGAGCTTCCCTATAGCCTCCCCTCTCCCCATCAACTCTGAAGAATGGGTAATACTGCTGCAGGATATTCTTTAGAAGGAAGAATACACAGAAATCCTGTTCCTGCTAGCCCTGGGCACAAGAACACCTACATTGCCTGGGGACCAGTCCTGACATGGGGTCTCATGGACTGGCCGCGGGTACACTGTGTGCCTTGGGGGTAGGAATATCAGGACTGGCAGCCTGTCCCTGTGAGGCCCAGAACTGTTCCCATTCCCCTTGGTCTCTGTGCAGCTTGATGACCTGTACTTGATTGCCATCTGTCATCGCCGAGGCATCAAATCACTTCGGGACCTTACTCAAGAGCACCTGCCGCTGCTCAGGAACATCCTTCGTGAAGGGCAGGTAAGTTGCTTCACCAAACCACATTGAAGTCCATTGTTAGACTCAAGATTCCAGTATGTTCCCTGGGCCTCTTTCCTCGCTCTTCCCTGAGTGTGTCTTGGAAATGGCTTCTCTCTGTGTGCCAGTCTTGTACTGTGTTAGGGCTCATTAAGTTGCTTCACAAGGGTCATTGGTCCTGGCCAGCCCTCTAAACTCTACTTTTCAGCCACCTTTCCTCACCTCCAGATCAGCCTCCCTGCCTTTTTCCATAGGCTTCATCTGGTATGCCCCTCTAACCTCCATTCCAGGACTCTTGCCCCTACCATTCAGGATCACCTGCCTCATGCATGATAACCATCTTGCACCAGATGGGTTTCTTGGGCTTTAGGGCACATGATTTTGACTTGTATATATACACATACAAGGCAGAGAGCAGGTTGATTCCATGGCACTTGATATTCTAGGACACTTTCTATCTGGAACATTTGTTCAATCTAATGAAATTTTAAGAGCACTAAAAGGGGCCTTGGGGGCAGGGGAAGATGGGAGGATCTTGGGTTGTGGTTATGGCCTGACATATTGCCCTAACTAGCTGAGTGGCCTGGGACAGTCATTTCACCTCTATGGACCCCTATATCTGGTTGAGATCCCTTCTAAATACACCATTCTGTGGAACCAGATATCAGCCTTTTTTTCATTTTTAAATATGTGAAGATATACACCTATCATGCCAGGAGCTCTCAGCTACCAGAATACCCAACCTAAAGAGAACTCTGCCACTTTCTAGCCAGTGCCAGGGCTCTGCCCAGATCCTACTTCCCCTGTCACTGTGCTCTGGCCTGTTTTCCAACACCTTCTTGCCCATGGCACCTTCTTCTGACTGCCTTTATGTTTTTGAAGCAACTTATTTTTATCAGGAAGTAACCTCTGGATCTATCCCTGGCACAGAATGATGTCTTTCTCTTGTTGAGACACTTGACCCAATCCTCCCTGTCCTGGCAGCCTCATCCCAATAGACCAGCCCTCTTTATTCCAGGAAGCCTTTTGGGTGCTTTGGGCCTGGTCTCACCTTGCTGCAGCAATTCCTGGGCATGAGGCCTGAGTCTTTCTCTTTACCTTTGACCTCCTCAGGGATCTGCCCATGAAGGAGATCAACATCTTCTCCTAATTCCAAGTCTTGGGGGCTCTTGAAGGAGACAGGGGAGGTCAGGGTAGATAGAAAAAGACCTCCCTCTGAGCAAGGTGGAGTGGGCAGAGAGAACCTGGGCCAAAGTAAATGTTTTCCTTTGGTGAAAGGAGCCCAGCTGCAACAGCCCGTCTGTCTGTGGGTCACCCTTCCCATATCCTTTCCCCTGCCTTTTCCCTTTCACCAGATTCTCAGCACAGCCCCATCTCTGTTGTTTCCAAGTCTTTTTCCAAGAGAGTGTAGATATATTTCCTCCCACCTACCTCATGGTTTATCAAGTGCTTGTAATTAATTCATCCAGGGGAAGGACAATATCCACAGTCTTGGGAACCTGGGCCCTATACTTAGACACTGGGACTTCCTAGATTCTCAAAGTAATGTTTTATCAAGGTTGTTGTAGGGAAGCCTGAGAAGATAGGCTCTCTTCTGTTGGGGGAATGAATGCCTCAGCTTTGCTGCTGCCTTTGGTGATTTCCTAGAATGGAAGACAGAGGGATCTGAAGCAAGCAGAGAGCCATTTGGAAGGTTTTTGTATGCTATCCCAGGCTAGCCTGTGCTAAGACAGGAGGAGTGCCTGGGTGGGGGTCCTGACACTGGCTAGTGGGCAGCATGATGACACTTTCTTGCCTCCCCTTTTCTCATCAGGAAGCCATCATGCAGCGCTACCAGGTGAAGGCAGACCACCTCCGTGTTTACCTGCATTACCTGCCCTCCTACTACCACCTACATGTGCACTTCACTGCCCTGGGCTTTGAGGCACCCGGTTCCAGTGTGGAGCGGGCCCACCTGCTGGCTCAGGTGATCGAGAACCTGGAGTATGACCCCACACACTATCAGCAGCGCACTCTCACTTTTACCCTCAGAGCTGATGACCCCCTACTCAAGCTCCTACAAGAAGCCCAGCAACCTTGAGTGTGCCAGGAGAGGGGCACATTTGTTTGTGGTTTTGGGCAGTGTGGAGGCTAAGTTTTACTCCAAGGGGATTTTAAAAACATTTATTTTGTACTGGCTTAGTCCTTATATGTGAATAAAGTATTAGGCTCATCTGTGAAGATAGATAGCATGATCTGGGGAGGCAGATGGGGAGGGACAACAGTTGGGCAGAGCAAGTGGGAAAGTCCCCTGGAAGGGTGGAAAGTCAAGGTTGTGGCTGTATCTGGAAAGTGACAGTACCCTGGAAGGGTGCTGAGAGCTTGCTCCAAGTTCCTGTACTCACCACACATGTTGGTTTCTGCCCTCCTCCCTGCTCACACTCCTTCCTATTGTGCTGCCAGGCCCTCTCCCACCAATTCGCCTTTGGGGAGGTCCCCCAAAATACCAAATTCAAAACCTCTCCGGAAATAGTCTATAAAGGCTTTAGATGCCACTTCCTCCTTCCCTCGCAGCCCTGGTGTCACACCCTGCATATGTGTTAACCCTGTAGAAAAACTTGCTGAGGAGGATGGGGGATTAATGCCTGGAAGTGGGAGTGTTTTAATGAAAATCTGATGATGCAAGCCCCAAAAGCCTGCCTTTGCCTCTGTAATTTGGTCAGCTAGTCTCTGGCCTTGAGTTTATTATCTAGGCAGGAAGACAAAACACTCACGTGGAACAGCCAGAAGAGCAAGTTCAAAACAGTGTTATCAGCAAGGGCAATATAATATGGTTTCAATTGAGTACAAAAGCTCCTAAGGAGCTTGGGTTCACAGTGTGGTCAGTGCTATAGGTTCATTAGAATCTGGAGGCCAGGAAGAGTCCTTGACAGATCGGAGAATGATGACCAGACTTGGAGCCAAGGAGCTTATCTGGGAAGGGTGATATCTACCACTGCCCCAGCAGAGCAGGGACACAGCATGCACACAAGGGTACTCTCCAGCACAAAGTACAAGTGTATCACAGTGTTAGAGGGGCTGGCATTTGCTGTTTGATCAGGGTAGAGCTGAGGCTAATGTGGCCTGCTCAGAAAGCTTTATCTGGGCCCTGTAGTGACAACAAAAGGAAAGCATTTGGCAGAGGGGTGGCTGTCACTCTGTCTCCTGGGTGTGGGACCCAGGAGGCCTGGATTCAGAGCCCAGCTCTTTTCCTTGCAGGTGAGGCCCTCAGCAGGTGGCACAAGTGCTGCACCTGCCCTAGGCCCACACTGCCTGCTGTGGAGAGCAGGACGTGGACCCTGGTGGTGAGGCCTGAGTGTGAGTGGTCTCCTGACCGACCCTTCCCGTCAGCTCTTCAAGAATCCCAGGATTCAGATAGTGAGCAATTGTTTTAGGTAGTGACCAAGACAGGTCTCTCAACTGCAAATCCAGCTGGATCCACTCATGGCCACCACACATCTGACCAAAAGCACATACTCCCGAGGGCAGGACCACAGGTCACTGCTGGGCTTTTGATGTCAGGAGCCTGGCCTGAGGGCTTCTCCCAGAGCGGTTTCCAGCTGGCAGGGCTGATCCCTGGGGCTCAGTTCCTCTCCCTCCAAGCCCCAGAAGGGTAAACTGACCCCTTTCCTCTCTGAAATCAGATGGTCCTGACAAGCGAATACTGTTGCCAACTTCAGTACTGCAAAGGTGCCAAAGTGAGGACTCCCTCCAGAACACACTCCCTCTGCCACATCACATGCTCCCAACTGTGATGCTTGTGAGTCCCGGCCCCCAGCTTGGGCTGACCTTTATGTTCCATGCCATCGTCTCATGTGTCTGCCCTGTGGTGGATGGCTGGTAGGAATTTGATGGCTTGATGCATAAAACTGTGAGGAGGAGCCAGGCACTATGTCATATACCTGTAATCCCAGCAGCTCAGGAGACTGAGACAGGAGGCTTGCAAGCCCAAATCTAGCTTCAGCAACTTAGCAAGGTCCTAAGCAACTTACTGAGACTCTGTCTCTAAATAAAATATTTTAAAAAGGGTGGGGACAGGGGATGTGGTAAGTGCCCCTGGGTTCAGTTCCTAAACCCTATGAGGAGGGATGAGTGATGGGCCAGAGCTCTTGCTGGACAAACTAAGCTAGTGGGTCACAGCAGAAAGGGTGGGGAGTCTGGAGAAGCAGGGAGTGCCCTTGTAGGTCACAGATGCAGGCAGAAAGAAGCCTACACCCTGGCTGGCTTTTTGGCTCTCCTGCAGGTTGACCAGTCCTGCATGTTCTTTGGTTCACTCTGTAAGGAGGAGCCTTTCTGGGATAGTGTCCCCTGAACTCCTCCCAGTCTGTTATCTTCCCAACAGCACAGAGGGATCTTTTCTCAGAACCTCACCGCTTATTTTTCTTATTCTGAATAGGACAAGCCTTTGTAGGAGTTCTGGTGAAGGGCTTCCCCCTTAGCCAGCCAGCCAAAACTGTGTAACTGCCATCTCCAAAAAACTAGGGCTTTCCATAGAACACAGCACCCTTGAGTCCTATCACCCCCTATTCCTCATCCCACTGAGGTTCCTGCCTTGCATCTGGCCCTGGAGCTAAAGGTACAGAGGGTTGGCTGCTGTGCAGAGTACTGTCAAGATCCCAAAGCACATACGTCTTTTGGGGGTAACCCTTCCTGTCACACTCTCCTACATGACTTGTACAGGTAATATCACATGCATCACCTCTTATTCCTACTTGTAACTATTGGCTTGTCTGCCTTCTCTACTGGCTTGAGGGTAGAACTTGTTTTAGTTATTTCTGTCTCCCCAACACCTAGGATACTGTCTGGCTCAGCAAAGCAGAGTTTAAAATAAATCAACATTTATTTCATGGGACCCTCATCCTTGTTTCCTTTTAGAAATAGACTCAGGATGCTTTGTCCAATGTAATGGAGGTGAATGTTAGCTCCGGGAAGCAGAGACTTCCGGTTCTTTGTTCACCATTTATCCAGGATCTAGTCTTCCTTGCCTATAGTAAGTGTTCAATGAACACGTGGTGAGTGGAAGAAGGAAACTGGGCTCTGAATCCAGGCCTTCTGGTTCTCAGACCAAGGGATGCAAAGTAACAGCCATTCCTCTCTGCCTCACACTGTTACCTCCTCTGAGAGAGCAAAGTAACAGCCATTCCTCTCTGCCTCACACTTTCCCACTGCTTTTACCTCCTCTGAGAGAGCAAGACACAACATCCTCAGCTTTATCTTGACCAAATAGCAAATGCTGGTGGTCCTCTGAGCTGGAGAGAATGCCCTCACCTGCATCCTGTGTCCCTGCTCTGCCAGAGCAAGGGCAGATGTTGCCCTTCCTAGAGTGGCTTTTAGTCCCCAACATATGGCCTACTTCTTTCCTGGGTTGGTTCGAGAAGAAAGGAAAGAAGTAGTTACAGGCATGACTGCTATTGTTCCTTGGCTTTTATCCATTTGTCCCAGAGTTTCCTAATAGAGCAAAATTGCCATTTGTCAATATGAAACTGAGAAAAAGAACATCCAAGCTCCATTTTTCATGTTCCTGTTGAATAAAAATCCCCAAGTTGAGTAACAAATCAAGAAACAATTACAAAGTATACTTTTTTATCCAAAACATTTGAACACAGGCTTCTCTTGATATCCAGGGGAGTTTGGTTCCAGGACTGGCCCCCCTCCCAAAATGCCAAAACCCTCAGATGCTCAAGTATCTTACATAAAATGTTGTAGACTTGTATATAAAATATCTATACATCTAGATTACTAATAATATATAGTACAATGTAAGTGCTATGTTACACTGTATTGTTTAGGGCATAGTGTCAAGGAAAACGATTATGTTCAGTATGGATGCAGTTTTTTATGCATATATTTAATTAATTAATTTACTTATTTATTTATGCAGTGCAGGGGCTCAAGCCTGTGACCTTAAGGAGGTGAGGCAAACACTCTACCACTGAGCTAATTACCAGCCCTTTCTCTAATATTTTTCAATCTGAGGTTGGTTGAATCCACAGATGTGGAACTCATAATATCCATGAGGATTATCCATGGGTACAACTGACTATATGTCTATTTTATCCATGTAGGTCTACTAACTCTTCGCCCAGAAAGGATTCTTTTTATTCTCCAAATGTGTACATAGTGTTAAAATGTCCTTTTTTAAAATAAGAAGATGGTAATAATTAGTGGTAGTTGTTTTTTAAGTATCCTTACTTATAAATGTCAACAACCCTAAGTTTATTCCATTATTATTGTTAATGAAATTATGTTGGATTCTGAAATGTATCAACTTGAAGTTACCAAGTAAACACTGTTAGCAGGGACTAAATTGGCTTAAAGCTTAAAGTGTTTCAATTCCAGTTTAATATAATAAACAGGTTTTGGCATCCAGCTTTTTTTTTTTTGCAAGGACTTGGACTCAGGTAGGGCTCATATGGAGTTTACAATTTCATAAGGAACACAGGCATTAATTATGAAAACTGACAGACAAAAGAAATGACTGTCTTGAAGGAGTAGTGAAGTCTATGGGAGCTTAAACCAAAGAGGAGCTAAATCTGTAATTTCTTAACTAATTCTATTTTAATTGATAAAAATATATTTGTGGTGTACAACTTGATGTACTTTTGTATACACTTTGCATACCTTTATATACACTGTGGAATTGCTAAATCAAGCTAACACATGCATTACCTCACATTATGCATCATTTTTTTATGGTGAACAATTCTCTGAGCTTTTTTCAATTATATAATACATTGTTATTAAAAAGAGTCACCATGTTGCACAATAGATCTCCCAAATTTATGCCTCCTGTTTAACTGAAAGTTTGTAACCTTTGACCATATACCATCCAGGCCCTGGAAACCACCACTGTCTTGAGTTTAATATTTTTAGATTCTACTTATAAGTGAGATCATGTACTATTTGTCTTTTTGTGCTCTTACTAAAATTTGATAATCATCAGCCAGATGACAAGCACAAGCAAAGTTTCACAAGTCATGACTCGTATGAATAGGACTCAGAACCAAGCTCATCTTGGGGCACACATACAGTGAGAGCACTGGCCAGTGCTTCAGAATCATATTGAAGAAATGATGGGCTGTGGTGTAGCTCAGAGGTGGAGTACTTGCCTAGCATGCCCTGGATTCAGTCTTCAGCACTGGGAGGAAAAAAAAAAAAAAAAGAAAGACAAGACAGCCAAGGCTAAGGGGAAACTTCATAACATTCTGTTTCTCTTCTGCTTGGAAAGCACAGTGGTCCCATGGCTCCAGCATAAACTCTACATCATAACCAAGTATGATCTTGGGCAAATTATGTAACTCCTCAAAATAAGTGTGACAATAGTGCCTATCCTGGGGCTAGGGTTGTGGCTCAGTGGTAAAGTGCTCGCCTAGCATGCACACTGGATTCCATCCTCAGCACCACATAAATGTAAAATAAAGATATTGTGTCCACCTAAAACTTAAGAATAAATTTTTTTTTAAAAAAAATATAGTGCCTATCCTATCTAAGAGGCGTTTGTGAGGATTAAAGAAGAAGATTTGGGAGAATAGTAATATCACTCAGTAAGTATGAGCAGCTATTTTTCTGCTGTGAGTAACCTAATAATCAGATATTTTGACTAGCTAACTTGTATGGCCTGAATGTGTCCCTCCTAAAATTTGCATCACAAGATGATGGTATTAAAAGATGGGACTTTGGGGAGGTGATAAGTCATGACAGCAGAGACTTCAGGAATGAAATTAATGCCTTATAAAAGAGACCCCAAATCCAGGTGTGGTGATGCACATCTATAATCCCAGCAGTTCAAGAGGCAAAGGCAGGAGAAATGCAAGTTCAAGGCTAGCCTCAGCAACTTTGTGAGACACTGCCAAAATAAAAGATAAAAAGGTATAGGGATATGATTCAGGGGTTAAGCACCCCTGAGTTCAAATCCCTGGTATCAAAAAAGAATAAAAACAAATAAAAAAATAATAAATTGTCTCTGTGGCGCAATAGAGAGTGCATTGGGCTTCCCTGATGAGAAAAAAAAAAAAAAAAGAGAGACCCCCAAGAAATCCCTTGCTCTTTTTAATCATGTGAGGTGACAGTGAAAAGTCCATACCAGGAAGCAGGCCCTCAGACACCAAATCTGGCACCTTGAACTTGGACTTTCCAGCCTCCAGAACTGTGAGAAATAAAGTTCTGTTGTTTATAAGTCACCTAGGCTATGGCATTTTGTTATAGCAGACCAAATGGACTAAGATAATATTAAAAATAACTCTATGGTGGGGCATGGTGGCCCACGCCTGTTTTCTCAGTGGCTCAGGAAAGTGAGGCAGGAAGATGGAGGGTTCAAAGCCAGCCTCGGAAATGGCTCTAAATAAAATACAAAGTAGGACTGAGGATGTGGCTCAGTGGTTGAATGTCCCTGAGTTCAAGCCCCAGTACCCAAAGGAAAAATAAAATTAAAAAACATAGTGATTAGAAGGCCCATGAAATCCTAGATGATGATGTAAACCAGAGATTTGGTTTGATTTAGTTTTTGTACTGGGGATTACGCCTAAGGGGTATTTTACTACTGAGCTATATTCGTAGTCCTTTTTATTTATTTTATTTTGAGACAGGGTCTCTCTAAGTTGCTGAGGATCTTGCTAAATTGCTGAGGCTGGCCTGGAATTTATGATCTCCTGCCTCTGCCTCTGGAGTCGCTGGGATTATAGGTGTGCACCACTGTGTCCAGCTTCAGAGGTTTTAAAGGAAAAAAAAAACAATAAACTTTTTTTTTTAAAAGAGGAGAGAGAGAGAGAGAGAGAGAGAGAATTTTTCAATATTTATTATTCTTTAGTTCTCGGCGGACACAACATCTCTGCTGGCATGTGGTGCTGAGGATCGAACCCGGTCCGCACGCATGCCAGGCGAGCACGCTACCGCTTGAGCCACATCCCCAGCCCAAGAAATAAACTTTCTGTGGTTAATTTATTGTGGCCTAAACAGAGGCAAAGTCTGCATGAATGATGTCTTGGGATCTCCTCCTGCCTAAAGGTTCCTGGAATGCATTTTAGCCTTTGCCTACTGGCAGGTTTCTAACATTGCAACAGTGACATCCCCTGCTATTGAGAAGCCTGGGAACAACTCAGTTCCATGGCCCAGCCATATAAATCTGATAAAAATAGGAGCTGAAATACCATCCTGGAGTTACTATTTTTAAAAGCGTCTGAGATGCTGGATTGAGCTTACTTCTTCAGACAGCATCTTGCTGTTCCTTTCTCCTCGTGGGCAGGATGTTAACGTGGCACATGAGAGGGACAGCTGCCAGAAGCCTGGGAGGCACATTTGTTAAGCGTCTCCTTGTCTGTTGCCCACACCCACTGTCTTCCAGGGAGTTGTTGCAGGGCCAGCCCTTCCTAGGTCTAGATGCACCTGCCCCCATACCTCTTTCTCCTCTGTCTCCTCCCTCTGTTCTAGAGATAACTCTGGTTGCTCTAGCAGAGAGGTGCCCTACCATATCCACAGGAGAAACTCAGATGAGGTAAAAGAAAGGCAGAAGAAGTGGGAATGAAGTGGCACGGCTTGGAAGTGGACTGGGATTTTTGTTCTATAGCTTGTCTTGGCCTACTCTCACTACAGCTGACCTCCAAGAGGAACAACAGTTTCCATGAGCCAAAGCCCTGATTGCCCGATCACATTGGCTCTTGGTAAGCAGATTGTAATGTCCTGTACACTGACTGAAGGAGTGCAGTGGAGTTGGGAGGGGCTTCAGAACTCAGTGCCTGAAAACAGCAGAATTGCTTTTCTCCTGCCTCAGAGATATGACTTTGAGGGAGCAAGCTAAACTTCTGACTGTGCCATTAAGAAACTGGAGGGGAAAAGTCATGAGTAAGAACAATGGGAGTATGAGAGGTGATCAGAATTATAGTTAGCTTCTCTCCCAGCAACCAGACCTGGGATACATGGGGGTAGAGGAACCTTTTATATTAAAATAGGTATTTCACCTGCATAATAATAGCACAGTTGTATATAACATATTATGCTTTCAGAACAAATTCACATCCATTGCCTCATTTGATACCAACAATAGCTCTTTAATAAGCTCAGTTATTTCCATTTATTTATTTATTTTCTAGTAAGAAAACTATAGCTATTTATTGACAGAGGCAGGATTGGAACTCACATCTCCAGGAGTAAAAGCTGGTTAAGTTCGATTTTCTTTTCTTAATTCTTAATTTTTTTATTTTAGTTGTTGATGGACCTTTATTGTATTTATTTTTTTATATGCGGTCCTGAGAATCAAACCCAGTGCCTCACACATACTAGGCAAGTGCTCTACCATTGAGCTTCAACTCCAGCCCTAAGTTAGATTTTCTTGCAGAGTAAAGTTGATATGGTTCTGAGCAAGAAAAGAAAACTGTTTAGATCTAATTCATCAAAGACTTTGCCAACTTTGAAGGGCAGGCTGATTCTTGGACCAGTACTGCCAGACACACCTCATCACTTAGGGTATTTGTCTTTTCTGTCTGGGCCAGTTTTCTTTCTGTAAAACAGGGCTCTTCCCTCTTCCTCTTGACCTGCCCAAGGAGAGATTTAGTCATTGTGTTCTCTCTATCCAGTCGAGTTCCAGATCTGAACATGATATGCAATAAATATGTGTTGAATGACTGACAAATCTAAAGGCACACTCAAATAAAACTGAGTTAGGCATTGGTGAACTGCCAAACAGCTTCTGCTCATGCAAAGTGTGATTTAAGATGGAACAGTCGCCTGTGGAAGAACTTAGAAGTGAACTTGCTTCACTTTATTCTTGCAGAACAGAACTTACATTAGAGAGATGAGTCCTCCCGCTTAGCTGAAGAGCACCTTGAGCTGCCACTTCTCTAAATGCTTTGTACTAACTGTCAGTTACATTTTTCACTTAGTCACATCCTGTCCTGCCTTTTTTTTTTTTTTTGTACTGGGGATTGAACCCAGGAACACTTTATCACTGAGTTACATCCCAGCCCTTTTTATTTCTTATCTTGAGGCAGGGTCTCTGCTTAGGGCCTCTCTAAGTTGCTGAGGCTGGCCTGGAAATTGTGATCTTCCTTTCTCAGCCTCTTGAGTCGCTAGGATTAGAGACTATCCCATAGTGCCAGACTATCCTGCCTTATTCTTTAAAAGAGCCCAATGCAAGTCTTTTCTCTGTAGCTGGATGGTAAGCTTCGGAGGACAGGGGCTGAGTCCGAGTTATCTTTAGGGCAGAAGAGAAGCCATTCTGGTATTTTGTTTTTCTTCTGTTAGAATCACTCGTGCCATCAAACCCAAGGGCTTCACACCAGGGGCTCAATAAATGCTATGCTCTTCGGTGAAAAAACCATTAGAAGGATGGTCCTGCGCTGTGATTTCTGCACTGTTCTTCAGCCTGGAGGTTCCCAGATTTACTCCAGAGATGCCAGGGCCCTAGGAACCAAGGTCAGGGGTTTATTGGGATTTCCCCCTGAAGATAGGATGCCTGGAGCTTTAAGTAAGACTGGAAGCTTTGTTAGGTCAAGATATGGTGTGCAAGTGAAGGGTGCAGAAGGAGCAGTTTGGGGATGGCAGGTCCAGACTGGGGTAGGGTAGAGCCCACAAAGTGGTCCACAATACCTGTCTGCCTTCAGTGCCCGGCGCTTTAGAGGCAGGGCTCCCGGAACAAGGTCCTTCCTCCTCTGTGTCTCAGTTTCTCCAGTGAGGGAAGGACACAGTTCACCCCAAGAGAGGGCAGAGAACCCTTTCTTCGATCTCATTGTTCCGGGGAGGGTGTGAGGAGGCTGAGCTGGGCATACCCATGATAGGCGCCACTCACAGTCAGCGCCTGCCCTGGCTCTGCCATCACCCCATCCGGTCTGCTCTTCCACCCCTCCGCGCCCACCGCACCTCGGGCCCTTGCCTGCCTCTCTCCGGGCCTCGAAGCCTTCCAGCTAACCCAAGCCGCCGCGGGCATCCGCCTCGCCAGCGCGCGGTATCGCCCCCGCCCTTCCTCCTCCTCCACCCCACCCTTTTCCTCCTCCCCTCAGCTCCGGAGTCGACTCTCCGGCAGTGTGCGCAAGCGTGTCCGGCCCCTTCCCCGCCCCGCGCCCGGCCCGGGCCGGGCCCCCGCCTCCCCTGCAGGCAGACTTGCCTGCTCCCAGGCCGGCCCCGCGCCCGGGACAGGGACCGGGCGGAGCGGAGCCGCTGCGCCAGCGCTGCGCCGCCAGTCGCTTCGACTAGCGGATCGGTGCTGTGCGCGGAACTGCCCTGCCCCGCCCCGCTCCACCCGCCAGGGTGAGTACGCGGCGGCCGACAGCCGGGGGCCCACGGCCGAGAGCTGGGAGAGGCGAAGGGGCCCGGGTCGCCTGGCCCCAGCCCAGCGCCGTGGCTAAGGGAGGTGGTCGGGCCCGGCACGTGCGCACAGCGTGGCTCGGGGTTGGGGTGGGGCGGCCACAGCCCTGGGGAGCTGCTTCCCGGGGTTCCTTTCCCTGGACCACATTTTCGCGGGAAGCCCGATTCTAGATTCTCCTGGCTTCCTCGGAGTGAGCAAACGGGACAGCCCTCCTCTCTGGAAAGTTTCTACCTCCTACCCCTGTGCCTGGTGAAGAGGCATCCCTCACCTCCAGCGTTCTTAGAGCGATGATTTCTCCCACAGCTGTCCCCATCAAGTCTGGTACATGTGGTCTGGCTTTGCTGGAGGTGACAAGCTTGGCGGGGTTTATCTGTGTGCAGGAGTTGCAAGGTCGCTGAGCAGAGCCCAAAGGTGGGGTTGCCAGCTGGAGACTGGCGGTTCCCAGAGCACCAGGGCCACGTTGTGGGCGGTCTATGGCGGACCTAGACCACTATGCTTCCAAGTTGCCTGAGTGGTGGACAGTGGAGTGGAATGGCTTTGAGGGAGGGTGAGCTAGAGCTCCAGGGCAGGAGATGAGGCAGAGATCCTGCGCTCAGCTATCTGCTTTAGGTGCCTCTCTGGGACCCCTGCTGGCAGAGACCTGTGGCCAACTCAGAGTTGCCAACATGTCTGCCAGCACTGCCCCTCCATTCCCAGTCCTGGAGGAGGCTCGTCCAGGCTGTGTTTGGCCAGATCTTCTGTAGCTTCCTCTGTTCCTCAGTCTGGGTCCCCAGGGCCCGGCTTAGGGGGCTGCTGCTAGAAGGCTGGGGGTGTAAGCCGAGTTCGGTGCCCAACTATGCCCTGAGTTCATGCTTCCCCCACCCCCAAGGAAGCCTGTGCTTTTCACCACTGGTGGGAAGTATGGAATGGAAGCCACGTTCAGGTGGACTTACTTTCTGTAGAACCTTGGAAAAGGACCTGATATAGGCTGGGTTGTCACAAAAGGCACAAACCCATGACACTGTGCAGGACCAGTGCTACAGATCCCACCCTCCCACTTGCATTCTCCAAGCCCTGGTCCTGGCATCTGTCCACAGGTTTTAAATGAGTTGATCTGTATTAAGTACTTTGAAAAGTGTTTGCAGGGAGGAAGAACTATGTAAGTGTTTGCTACTAGAACTATTTCTCCTATACTGACTCTCCAAAACTGCCATGTAATTCAATGAGGTACCTGGGAGATGCCAATTGCTTGGGGCCTGTAAATTGACTATCAAGCTATTTTTTTTTATATTGGGTGCTGGTCTGGGGATACCCTCTGCCTAAGCTGAGGTGGCCCTGCTTCCTCTACCTATTTCCTGCTCTGCTTCTGCCCCCATTCTCAGGGTGCTCCTTATGCAGTATCTTGATTGGTCTGGGTGGGAGATCATAGGCTATGTCAGTGGGCTCTGGGCTCCACCAAGAAGTTGAGGGAGAACACAGACTTGGGGCCAGCTCCCCAGACTTCAAGGTGATAGTGTAGGTTAGAAGGGTGATGTGAATGTAATAAACTAGAAATGTAAATTAGGAGCCATAAGTGTAGCTCAATGGTTAGAGCACTTGCCTAACACAAAAGTAAGAGTCACCTGCTTGGACCTTGTACTGAGAGGGCATCTTTGGCTTGGGAATAGGTTGCTTCTCAGACATAGGAGGGCACCCCTTCCCCAAGAATGAAGGACCAAGGAAGTCCATGGAGCCTTCTGGACTACTTTCCCCCCTCTCTCCATCCCTCCCTTCCCTGAAGCAGTGACTTACTCCCCACTCCTCAGAAACTGTCTTGGCCCCTCCAGTCTCCCAGCCATTTTACACTCTTAGGATTTTGTTTTCTGGGTAGAACCAAGAATCTACTCCTTTCTGAAATTGCAAGAAGTCCTAGAAAGGGCCTCCCCTTCACAGGGAGGATCAGAGAGGCCAGTTCCCTTTCTGTGCACTATCTTGAACTGTGGCCTCCCTGCAGTAACCTTGTCTGGGCCTGTCATCTGTCTTTGCCCTGGAGCCTGCCTCTGGGCTCTGAGTCATCTCAGAGTGACTGCTCCATGGTTGTTCAGTGGAGCTGAAAACTCCTCTCAGAGGGTCTCAAGGTTTGCACCATTCATTGTAAGGAAGGGATCACTGTACCTCAGACTAATATGAAACAGTTGTAAGATACCTATGGAGTTTGGTCCTTGGGCTTACAGGGAGGGAAGAGGAGGGAACACAGGGAAAGGGTAGAAGGTAAAGCAAGGTTGTGTGGGAAGCCTGGGCTTCCACTAGGGTCAGAAAGCCAAGTCAGGGCTCGCTGTCCCTGGAGATGGACCTTGGACATAGGAAGGCAGAAGAGGTGGTAAAGAGTGGGAACTCCTGAGTTCTCAGCACCTGCTCCCGTCCCCTAACTGTTCATTTCACCTTGTATATGTTAGACAGTTCTCTGCAGCAAGCCGATGCTAGTGTAGCTGCTGCTTCTTGTTCCCTGGCCCTCAGGATTTTCCTTCCTTCTCAAGACCTAGGGTCTTGACCAGAAGCTTTTGGTTGCCAGGAGGAAATGGCTAGCGTAGGGGACTTTGGGTGATTGTAGTCATTAGCATATTTCTCTCCTTTTTCACCCCTTCTCAGGGGTGTTCAGTGCTTCTGTATAAATACTGAGCACCCCTGGATGTGCTTCTAGCCACCCCTGGCCTCAGAATCTCCCAAAACTTTATCATATTCCAGGATTTTCTTTCCTGTTTGGGGAAAGTCAGCTAGAAAAGTCCAGGGAGCATTTCAGGGAGCGCCATTTCCTGTTGTGTGTGTGTGTGTGTGTGTGTGTGTGTGTGTGTGTGTGTGTACGCACACGAGCAGACTCAGGCTCACATGATGCAATGCAGGTGGAGGAGGTGGTCCAGTGCAGCCTCAAGTGGGAGCAGCAGCAAGTGATACTGTGGTCCCAGCCAGGTGCTAAATTCCACCAAAAGGTGTTGCTTTTCAGGATGAGGGGAGTGGGTATCTAGAGGTTTGGCTCTTCTTTTAAGTCTTGGAGACATAGCCAGGGCTAGACCACAGCCCCATCTCTACCCACCCCACCCCCAAATGCTGCCACACAGAAGGATGATGTGATTGTCTACACTCTGAAGCCCTGGGTTCTGCTTTTGGCCCAGTATGAAGGAGGGTGCGGCTATTCAGACTGTGGTGATGTGTAGGTTGGCTAGGCCCTCAGTTTTCAATGTGGGTCTTGAGTGTGAGGAAGGCTGGGCTGCAGAAGCCCAGGAGCAGTCGGAGTGGTAGGATAACCTCTTCTTTCACTTGCTGCTTTGTTCAGTCCCTTGCTGGGAGTGAGGGACTCCAGAATCTTGCTTTCCTGTTTGGGGAAAATCAGCTAGAAGAGTCCAGGGAGAATTTCAGGGAGTGTGGTTGTGTTTCTGCATTGGGCCCAAACCCCCTTTTCAGGTTGCAGGTTCCTGTTGCTACAGCAATGCTACTGTGCCCACCATCTACTCTGTGTCTTCCTCCCATTGAAGCAAAATCAAAGTCATAATGAAAAGGGACTTAGCAAATAACAAAAGGAGTCATTATTTATCAACCAAGCACTTATTAAAGACCTGTTCTGATCAATTAAAAAAAATATGCTAGGCACTTATTCACATCACTTAATGTAAACCTTACCACCTCACTTCAAACCCCCAAATCCTATTTTTTTTTCAGTGCTGGGGATTGAACACACATGCTGGGCAAGCATCCTACCACTGAGCTGTACCCCCAATCCCCAAACCCCCTATTCTTGAGTCCCTTTATAAGTGAAGAAACAGAGGCTGGGAAAGATTAAACTACTTGGCCAAGATCAGAGCTCATAAGCAGCTGAGCTGGGACTCAGTTTCAGGCCTGCTTCCAAACCCTGAACTTTTCAGTCCAGTTCTCAACTGTGCCCCTGAACTGGTTTTCCTTACCTGTTGGGCTTGTAATTTAAAAAAGAAGAAGGAAGAGGCTCTGGACTCAGGTATAAAGGGATTTGCTGAATGCCACAGTGTTTTAGTGACAAAGGTGGGACACAAACCCAGGCTTCTGCTTGCTGTCCTGAGTCTAAGTCATAGCCCTGCCCGTCCAAGCCCAGTCCCCTGAGTTCCTGAGTCGGGCTTGTCTGCCCTCTCAGTTGGGCAGACCCGGGTTCTCCTTCCTTCTTCCATCTCGCCTCCCGGCTTTCCTCCTTCCCTGCGGGCCCCTGCCGGCCCCTCCCAGCCCCCACCACGCCCGCTTTCCATCTAATTGCTTCCATCTGGCCTGCCTGCCCGCTCCTATTCCTTTGGAAATGCGTTTCCTCGGCCGCCCACAGGGCTGAAAGGCCTCATCCGGCAACCACAGCGACGCGTGGGGAAGGGGAGGGGCCCTACTGGGGTCGGGGCATGGGGAATCAAACCATCCAAGGTGGCCTCTTCCAGTGTTCCTGCCAGGTAGGAGCACTTTTTGCTGCATAGACCTCCCTGACCTGGGCTGGCTCAAGGTCAGAGAGGTTCCCTAAACACCCCATTCTCCAGCCATTGAAACCTCCTCTTGTACTTTGCAGACAGGCTCAGAAGCCATAGGCCTCCTTGTTCTTTTGAGATTGCTCACCTTCAATGAAGGGGTGCCTGGCGGAGAGAAATAGAGACGAGTAGGGACACACCCTGGACTCCCACTGATGGGAATCTCTGGGAAGTAAGACAAATGGAGGAGTATTGGTGCAGAGCCCAATGAATCCTGGGAGCTCTGGACATGTGAGAATGGAGCTACTGGTTTCATTGACCCTAAACAATCGACACAGAACAGAGATACAACCTCACATTGCCTGGATACAAAATCCACACATCCTAATAGTGCATTAATATTCGGTTTTGACTCACTTGCCTAAGAATCTGAAGAGGCTGGGGAGGGAGAGGTCGCAGGGTTGTCAGGATGGCCACCTATGCGTTTCAGAGGCATGCTTCTGCCTGTGGAAGGGGCAATTTCCCTGTTAATAGAGGTCTTTGAGCATAGACCTGTGACTTTGACAGGGACAGAATAGAGGAGATGCAGGCATTGGCTGGAGTGTGTATGTAGTGTAGAATGGGTTTGAACACTTTGAAGGTATTTTATTTTAGGATTTTGATCTAAGCTCCACGGGGCTCTCTGGCACTGTAATCCCAACAACTAGGCTAAGGTAGCAGGATTGCAAGTTTGAGGCCAGCCTCAGCAACTTAGTGAAATCCTGCCTCAAAAATGAAAAATAAAAAGGGCTGGGGACATAGCTCAGTGGTAAAGCACCCCTGGGTTCAATCTCTAGTACAAAACCAAATGTGGCTTACTTAATGTAAACTCTAGAAATTTGTCTGTCTTATTTACTGCTATGTTCTTAATGCCTGCAATGATGACTAACAATAATAAGTGCTCAATAAATGAGTGTTTGATGGATGAGTGAAAAACATAGCTCAGGTTTTCTACCATTGTCTTTATGTACTCCCATTCCTGCTTCCTCTTCTTCTGAGAGCAAAGGAAAAAGAGTTTCCCTCTTTGCCAGGTGAGCTGTTTGTCAGAGATTGGCCTGACCCCAGTGTGTGCTATCACCTTGGGGGCCCTGCTCAGACACAAGAAAGGCAGGCAGGAGCCTTGGTGTCCTGGGTCGCAGGTTGTCCCCTGAGGAGGGCATGCTCCATTCTTCCCACCCCAGGTCTGGCTGCTCACATTTCTGCACCTGTCACCGCTCTTCAGTAACCTTCACGTCCCTACACAGACCAGACCTGTGTCACTTCCCGTCCTTATGTCACTCTTCTCCTTATTTGGGGCCCTCTTAAGAAAGGGATCTTGGTGGTGCAGCTTCCCTTGGAGTAAGGGAGTCACCCTCTTTTGCTTCAATCCTACCAGCTCCACTTTCATTCCTTCTACATACTGAGTTTCCATTTAAAATTTCTTTTGAAACTGGGACAGAGGGTTTCTTGGCTTAAAAGATTTTTTTTTTTAACCACCCCTCCCCTCCGTTCCCCGGCTCCAGTGTGTTCTTATATTCTCTGTAGAAGCCTCATGTATTTTTACTTCCTTATCTTTACTTACACCAGCAGCCCCACACCCCCACAGCTTAGGCATCTTTGACAATGACCTTTCTAAATGGCCAGTGTCCTTCAGCTTCAACTCAAGCCCCTGTTCTGTAAAGCTTCCCTGAAGCCCCCCTGCATTCTCCTCTCCTGTGACATGGAGGTGATCTTGGGCCTGATGAGTCCAGAGTACATCTCAGTGTCACACAGGCTAAATCAAAGTCGTGGGGTTGGGCTTCCGGGTGTGATGTGGAGCTAGGAGCTTTGTATTTTGAGAGGCAGGTTATAGACTCTAAGCTCTTCCCTCCTTGCTTAACTTTGAGCAGAGCTCCCTGCCTGCCTTTGTTACCTTTGTTTACTTCTCTAACAAATTAGCACTTCTTAAGAGATACCATCAGTGCTTGGAACCTAGTACTGTATAAATGCTGGCTGGTGTTTCTGTTATTCCAGAGTGGGACACTGAGATTAAAGGGTGCCTACTTATTTTCCCCAGGGGAAAAGGGGCAGGTGGCCTGGTAGGAGTTGCTTTTGTCCCCTCTCTGTCCAGCTTTGTGACCTCAGGCAGGTCTTGGACTTGATTGGTTTTCAATCAGCATGTCTGCTCATTAGGGTACAGATAATGGTGTCTGATCTACAGCTTAGGATGGTGATACACAAATGGGATGACATTTTTCTACCTGAGAGAGCCCTCAGAGGTGAGCTTATAGTCACTGGACGATTGGGCAGGACCGGTTACTTGTCTCATTTACTGTTGTATTCCCAGCACCTGGTACCACATTAGCACTCAGTAGCTGCTCCATAAGTATTTCTTTTTGCAAATGACAGAGTGAAAGCTCAGAAAAGACACTTAATTGTTCAGGGTCACAGCATCTCTCTCCCCAGGCAGGGAGGAGGCAGGATACTGCCCAGTTGGGCTGAGCCCCAGGAGTGCTACTGGGCTCTCTCCCTGTCCTCCCATTCATGCTTTTTCATTCAGCTTGTCTGTTCTCCAGACCCTGAAGGTCTGAGGTTGTTGAGGCTAAACCCTCCTGGGATATAGTGGACCCTTTGGACAGGATGGGCTAAGATATCTGGTCTGGAAATGCCCTTTCCACTGGCCTAGCCTGGCTGTGTCCAACTGGGAGAGTCAGATCCAAGGGGCTGGGAGCAGAGGGTATGTTGATGGAGTGAGGGGTGGGGACAGCATGGGCCCTTCTTTCCAGACTTAGTGCCCCCTTTTCCTTCTTGTCCCCATTTTGTTCCTTTCCTCCTTTTCCTCTGTCCTTTTCTGCCTTCCTTCCTTTCCCCTTCAAGAGAGACAGCACCTGCTTACTTTCTTCTTTTTCTTTTTTCGATACTGGGAATTGAACCCAGGGCCATGTGCATGCCAAGCAAGTGCTTCAGACTAAGACACATCCCCAGCATTCCTCTCCTTCTCCTCTGTTCCTCTGTCTTCCTTTCCACCTCTTCTCTCTCCTTCCCTTTGTCCCTCTGCTCCTGCATCCCCAGGCCTCAGCATTTGGGTTGTCCTCATGGGATGTGGTTGGGTTCACTGAAGTGGGGGGTACTCAGGAGAGACTTCACTGAGAGTCCAAAGAGAGCTCCAGGTATTCGCAGCTTTGGAATTTTAGGGCAAAAATGGCTCTTTCAACATGTGGGTGGGGGAAGGACAGTGCCTGCTAAGACTATGCAATTCTGTGATCTTCATTGCTGCTTCCTGGACCCTATCCATATCCTTGGACATCTTGGGCACATGGGCAGGATCTTGTCCTTCTGCAGCAGGTCTCCACCAAAGGGTTGTCAGATGGAGCTTCCCAGGCCTCTGACTTCCTCCACCTTCCTCTCTCTAGAGCTCCAGCTCTTTATCCAAGAGCTACCTGCTAGGATGGAGGGAGCTGGCCAGAGCAGAGAGGAGGTTTCTGCTCAGACCCCTGCCAGGTGAGCGCACCTGTTGTGCTTGGTCTGATGCATGTGGTTGTATGTACATGTGTGCCTTGTAAGTGTGTGGATTTGTACATGCGTTATATGTGGGAGAGGGCATATGGTCTTGCATCGGTATATGGGCAGAACATGGGGTGCACTTTCACTGGTCCTTACCCCCTCCCCTGGGGCCTGGCACTGAGTTGCCTGCCTCTGGCCCAGAGCTTGCATCTCTGTGGTCTTTGTGACTCTGGCTTTGTACTGTGGCTTTGTTCTGCCTTAGGGGCCAGCTGGTCCCCTGCTGTGGTCCCACACAGTGGTGACTGATCCCTGGCCACCCATTCAGCTGTCTGGGGGCCCTGGGGCCAGTGTTTGTACCCTGTCTCCCCAAATGGAGGCGTGTAGGGGCTTCCTGCCCGGAGTCTCAACCCTGCCAAGGCGGAGGGAATGGGGAACAGCTGCGTTGGCTGATTCCAGTTCCTTATGGATTTGGTTTGACAACAAAGCTCCTCTGTGTGTTCTCAGGCCCCTTACATAACTGGGGGTGGGGCAGGGGAGGCAGCAGGAGGAGGTGGAGATGGAGACACGGAGACACCAGGGTGGGATGGCTGGAAGGGGACAAGGACTAGGAAGAGAGGGGAGAGGGTGAGAGACCATTGAAGAAGGGGAAATGGGAGAAGGGGGAGAAATATGTTTTGGCCTTGTAGTTTACTTCCTGCCCCCTGAAGTAGGACTCCAGGTGTCCAGACCTTTGCCTATTGATGCTGGGGCCCCACCAGCCCTGCACTAGCTAAGGAGGGGGCTGTGGGACCTGTCTGGGTGTGAGGTCAGGTAGGATTATTAGAGGCTAGCCCTGGGCTCCACCTTTTAACTGAACAGATTCCATGAAGCAGAGAATCGTTTTCCTTCCTTGCCCTTGGGCTTTTGTTCCCTTTTCCCCAGCCTGCCCTGCTACCAGAACCACCTTCCCACCACTCACACATACCTCTTGGCAGAGTTCAGGAGGTAGACCAATGCAGCCCTTCCCTGTGCCCTGCCAGGTCCAAGGCCCTTCCCCACCTCACTCAGCCAGCCTCCTACCCAGGGCCCCAGCTTGGGGCCTGGTCCACCATCAGAAACCCTGTAGTCCTGCTGTCTGCATCTCCTGCCCCCAGTGTTCTGCGGCTGTCCGAATAGACAGGAAAGAAAATGTTCTCTTTCTGGAACAGCTGGACTAACAGCTCCTGGAGGCTAGGTGAGCTTGCCAGGTTTGGGTGTGTCTTGGAGTGGGGGTAGGTACTGTGTCTGGAGCCTGATCCCTTCACCTTCTCCTAGGCATGAGTACACAGAGAGGCCAGGTTGGTGGGACTCTGGCCTCTCCTGCCCTCAGAGGGAGCCAGGGCCCTGGTGGGGACTCATCTCCTGGGTTGTCTCAAGAGTCTGTGGCTTCTCTGTCCTCAGTTTCTCTGAGTCTTTTTCTGGTAACAGAAGTCCCTGGAAAGAGCCTCTGGGTTTGCATTGGTGGGGGTTGGTGGTGCTTGCCCCCATGCTGCAGGGAATGGATAGGCCACGTTCTTCCAACTTGAGCACAAAGATGATTCCTACAAGGGCCAGGAGAAGGAGCTACTGGCCAACGTGCCAGATTACCCTGGGCATGGGTTTTGGGCCTAATAGTGGGTTCTGGTGCTCTGCTTGGCCCTTGGCACTATGTGTGGTTGACTTGGGGGTCTCTGCCTATAGGCTATCCTGTAGGACCAGGAGCCTGCCTCTCTGTGGAGTCCTACTGAATAGGCCAATTCCAGAATCCCCAGTCCTCAGTCTCTGTCTAGCCTGAGTCTTGCCCTCCCTTTACCTCTTCCAGGTCTGGTTGCTGGGATGATTCTGAAATCGCTACAGCCTAAGGGCTAGAACTGAGAAGGTCTGAGCTGGTGGGAGGGCCAATTGGGGAGGGCCCAGAAGTTTTCTGGATTTGGGAGCTCTGAGGGCTGATAGGACAGCTCCTCTCACAGGAATTAGTCACAGATGCAGAGACTGGGATAGGCCTGAAGGATGGTAAGTGTGTGCTGTGGGTGCTGGGGCAGGGACAGCCTTCCATAGGTAGCAGCCTCTGTGGTATGTGTGCCCATGGCTATAGGCTGCCCTAGAACCCTCTCAGCCTTGCTGGGGATACACCCACAGGGCCTAGCAGTGTGGCTGGGGTGCCTGTCCAGGGCCTCTGCTGTGTATCTTTTTTTTTTTTTTAGTTGTAGATGGACAAAATAGCTTTATTTTATTTGTTTATTTTTATGTGGTGCTGAGGATCGAACCCAGTGCCTCAGATGTGCTAGGCGAGTGCTCTGCCGCTGAGCCACAACCCCAGCCCTCTGCTGTACATGTTTCTCTCCCTTGCTTTCCTGCAGGCCCTCCCGCTGCAGCCCATCTCCTTAGTACCTGAGCATGAGCCAGACTCACTTCCTATGAATTGGGTTTATCAGGACATAGGACAGTGAGCCCAGGGCTTCTCTTTACCCAACTTTCAGAGTCCCCAGAGGGCTGGTGTAGCCACTCCCTGCTCTTCCTGAAGCTCCAGGCTCCCTGGCTGATGGCTCCAGGGACCTGCAACCTGACAAACAAACAGTAGGCGCCAGAGCAGAAGGTGAAGGAACCAGCGCATAGAATACCGCCAAGGAATGGAGGAAGTGAATGCTCTGGCAGAGGCCCAACAGGCCCCAGAAATTGTATGTTGTGGGGCAGGATGTGTAGGGGGAGGGGAAAAGTGGGGGGAGAGGGCTGTGTTCCTGTGTGTTCTGAGGTAGGCCAGTGTGCACTGAGAAGTGAGTACAGGCTATCACAGCCCAGGGCCTGAGTGTGAGTATGTGTTACTGGGACAGGAAAGATTGGCTTGAGAAGAGTTACCTGGGCCTTCTGGCCATGAGATATGATGGGGCTGTGAGTGCTTAGATTCACTTCCACATTCCCCCAGGGGGCTTGGGAGCCCCAGGTGAGAGGTGGCCCGATGTTACCTCTGATAACCTGAATGTCAGCCAGCCCCTTCCCCAGCATTCCCACTGCTTCACCCAGAGGGACTGTTGCTCAGAAGAGCAGTCTGGTGTTTTCCGCACCACCTAGAAGGTCAGCCATTCCTCCACTTCCCTCCTTCTCTACTTTTACTTTGAGGAGAAGGGTATGTACAAGTGGTTCATCAGCAAGTCTTAACTGACGCTGATAACCTCCAGAGGGACTCACTCACCCCCTTCTCTGTTCCCAGCTGACAGGCTGATGCAGAAAGCTGTATTTTCCTTACCCACAGTCTTCATTTCTCTTGTAGGGGACACATTCCTTTAGCCCCACACCAACATGCACCCTCCACCTGAGCCCCTTCTACTTCTCTCAAACCCAGCCCTTTTAACCTTATTGAGTTCATAATAGAAATTCATGAGTAAACTCTCCTCTGCTGATGTCCAGAAATTTATTTGTTCCTGAATTGCCAGCAAGGACTAATTAGTTCATGTCAGTTCTGACCAGGTGTTCTGGAGAGGAGAGAAGGGAATAAAAGTTCTGTAAAGGTGACTAGGGAGCAGGAAAGAGTAGATTCTGGGGATCCTTGCTGCTCCCACATACTCCAAAATAGAGCTGAAAGCCAGAGGCATTTGTAGGGCAAAGCTGGAATCTTACCCACCTCTGTGGGATCCTAGTTCTGAACAGTGCTCTACACCGTTCCCGCTTGGAGTCTTTAGGAGTACAGATGGTCCTTAATGTAAGATCGTTTTATTTTTTTCTTTCTTTTTTACTTAGGATGTTTAACTTTATGATGGTGTGAAAGCAATGTGTGTTCCATAGAAACTGTACTTGGAAGTTTCAATTTTTCCCTTTTTCTGGGCTAGTGATATGCAGTATGATCGTTTTGTGATGCTGGGCAGCAGCAGCCACCAATACTCTAGGGTGCACTGGGGCTAAGCTGGGATATTCTATTAGGTGTATTAAATGCATTTTGACTTGAAATATTTTCAGCTTCTCAGGACACAGCCCTATCATAAGTCAAGGTGCATCTCCATCTGCTCTGGAGAAGCACATTAATCACCAAGGGAACATACCTCTGGAAATAAGAGGCCATTCAGTGACAGGGAACTCTGCGAGTAGCTAGCACCATGGTGAAGAGGGGACACATGTATGACTGAAAGGGATGGCTGTGTCAGGGACCTGGACACTAACTCTGGAAGGTGCTGTATTGGGAAAGGGAAAACATGAGAGTGGCTTCCCCACTGCCACCTTGCCTCTTGGTTACCTGCAAGGCAGGGGACCTGATGAGGCTTGGCTGAATTCTTGGGTGGGGATGTACAAGTTATACAATGTCCTGGAGCCCTGTTAAGTCAACTCCTCCTAGTCAGAAAGAAACTGACACTCCTCATCTGTAAATAGGAATAAAAGTAAACTGTCACATAAAGGAGTTTAAAAATTAAATAAGAGTATGTACAATAGCTGCAGAACTTCCCCAAGGATCTTTTAAAAATTAATCCAGGGGGCTAGGCTTGTCCTTCAATGGCAGAACACTTGCCTAGCATGTGTGAGGCACTGGGTTCGATCCTCAGCACCACATATAAATAAATAAAAAGCAAAGGTACATCAACAACTAAAAAGTTAAAAAATTAATCCAGGACTGGGCCTTTAGCTCAGTGTTAAAGCACTCGCCTAGCATTTTAAAGTCCCTGGATTTCATCCCTAGCATAGTGGTGGGAGGGAGGGTGGAGAGTTGTGTCACTCCTATTAATACCCTTCAATAACTTCATGACACCTAGAATAAAATCCAAGCTCCTTGGGGTGAGCCACAATGTCCTATACCACCTGGTCCCCATGGCCTCCCCAGTACACTTTGGGCCCTTCCTCATCCTCTGTGACCACATCAGACTTATTCCTTGTTCCTTTCATCGGACAATTGTGGGGTCTTTGCACTTCTGTCTGTCTGGAACCTTCTTCTGCCCCTGCTCATTCCCATCTTTGCATGGCTGCCTTTTCATGTAGATTTCAGGTCAAGAGCCAGCTCCGCACGGAGATAGTCCCACCTACCCTGTTGCAAAGGGGCTGGCCGATCACTCTGTGCTCCAGTGCCCTCATGGTCTGAGTCATTGTTATAGAACCATCACCATTTATGTCAGTCATGAGGCTGTCCCCACTTAGGTGTAAACTCTGCAAGCCTGGGCCTGTCATGATTACTACTCAGTGCAGTACCTAAGACGTTGCCCTGCATGCAGTAGGCCTCAGTCCATGCTGGCTTCTGTTTCTACTGTTTGCCCAACCTCACTGTACCCCAGAGGACCTGGGGTTCCCACCTGCACTATAGTGGGGATATTATTCTGGACTAGCCTTTCTGAGGAACAGAGGAAGAGGGAGGTTTGGCCCATTGCTCTCCTGGGGCCACACATGGTTAGTCTTCTGGGTGACCTCACTTTAGAGCTTTGAATTAGGAAGTGAATCTGACTGAACTCAAGGTAATAGGAGTCAGTTCTGCAGAAACCACAGCTGCTTATGAAAAGAGAATCCTTGTGGGCACAGAGGAAGGGAAGCGTAGAAGAATAAATACAGATGGGCTTGCTGTACCAGCTTCTCCAGGGGTGCTTCTGGCAAAGCCTGGTCTGCACACCCAGGTCCTTGTTGTTTTTAACTTGCAGAGAAGAGGAAGGAGGAAGGTGCTCTAAATGGCATTGCTGCTAGTCCACACCAAACTTTTATGTAAATTAGAAAAAGTTACCCCTCCATTTGGACACAGCCATGCAACGGACCATATGCTTTGGCAGCAGAGGGAGGGCTGGACTTCGGCCCGACTTGCCACCCTGGTTAAGCTATTTGCCCAGTGCGTATACTATGCTGGTCCCTGTCCTTGGAGTGGGACACAAAGAGGGACAAGAAAGGCCAATCTGTGAAAGCAGCTAGTGATGCAGTTCTTTGTCCTGAGATCAGCTGTTCCTACTTCAATAATGATCCTTGGAGCCACTGTTTTCTGTCATGTTCACACACCCTCAGAGATAGTGCTGTTTTTATCTGCATTTACCCAGATGAAAACCTAAAACCTGGGAGTTAGCATAGCCACATTCTAACGATTGACGGTTAATTTGGAATTCAGGTCCAGGTGTGTGAGATTCCAACCTTTACATTTCCTTCCTTCCTTTCCTCCCTCCCTCTCTCCCTCCCTACTGGGGAGAGAACACTGGGGTGCTCACCTACCACTCACCTACCTCCCAAGCGCAGGCAGCTTTTGTTTTTTTTTTTTCTCCCCAGCACTTTTTATTTTTTATTTTGAGACAGGGTCTTGCTAAGGTACTGATACTTCTCTCTCTTGAGCTTGTAGCCTTCTTCCTCAGCCTCGTGTGTTGCTGGGATTATTAGTGTGTACCGTGCCTGCCTTTTCTTCTCTTTCTATCAAGTTTTTTTGCTGAAAGTGCATTGCACACATCAGTTTTAAAAAGTTAAACCTTTTGTAACTTTTTAAAAAAGTTATAAAAGGGTAGATGATAAAAAGAAAATGTCCTCTAGGTCATACTTCTATACCCCCAGTATGCCCTATTAAGTCAACCACGTTTGTTTCTTTTGTAATCTTCTGAGTAATCTATTCATAAGAACATACGTATGTATGAACTTTCGGCAAAAGTACATTTGGAGGTACACAGAATGCTTCCCTGCCTGCCTTTTTTTTTTTTTTAAATATCTTTATTTTGTTCATTTATTTATATGTGGTGCTGAGGATCGAACCCAGGGCTAGGCAAGTACTCTACCGCTGAACCACAACCTCAGCCCTGCCGCTGCCTGCCTTTTTTTACAATTTATTTTTTTTTTAATATTTATTTTTTAGTTTTAAGTGGACACAATATCTTTATTTTACATTTATGTGGTGCTGAGGATCGAACTCAGTGCCTCAAGCATGTTAGGCAAGCACTCTACCACTGAGCCACAACCCCAGCCCTTCTTTTTTACAATTTAATACTGTGCTTCTAATCACTTGATATTAGAATGCATAGATGTGCATTCTGTCTTTTTCTTTGCATAGTGTTTCATTGTCTGTGCTTTGATGCATTTAAACAGGTCTCTGGATAGATTTTTCAGATTGTTAACATATTTTGTTGTTATAAAAACTGCTGTGAGCCAGGAGTAGTAGCTGGGAATGTGGGAGACTGGGGCAGGAAGATTGAAAATTCAAGGCCAAGGTCCATAATTTTATATATATTCTTATCTCAAAATAAAAAAGTCCTGGGGGCATACTTCATTGGTAAGCTATCCTTGGGTTCAATCCCTGGTATTTAAAAAAAATTTTTTTTAAATGAAAAGTGCTGTGAGCCAGTTGTGGTGGTACATGCATGCCATAGTGCCAGATGGGAGACTGAGACAGAGGATTGCTTGAGTCCAAGGGTTCAAAACCAGCCTGGGCAACATAGCAATACCAGAAAGGAAGGAAGGGAGGGAAGTGATAAAGAATGTGGGTGTGTGTATATGAGTGTTTTATACTAGAAACTGAACTCAGGGCAACTCTACCACTGAGATTCCTCCCCAGCCCTTTTTATTTATTTATATTTTGTTTTGAAACAGTCTTTCAGAGTTGCCCAGGTTAGCTTTGTATTTATAATCCTGCCTCAGCCTCCTGAGTAGCTGGGATTACAAGCATGTGCCACTACACCCAGCAAACCGACTTTCTTTCCCTCCTTCCTTCCTTCTTGCCTGCCTTCTTTCTTCTTTTCCTCTCTCTTTCTTT